TCTGAAGAAAACAATAGTAGTAAAATCCATGAGAGCTGTAAAAGAAGCACACAAATACATTTTTTCCCTAATTCTTAAATTGGGCACTTCTAATAGGGATAGATAAAAACAAACAGAGGCAATTATTCCTTTCTTTATCTGAGACAAGAACATCCACCAGAGTTGGACATGAGATAAATGAACTTTGGTTTATGAAAGTTGCATAAGAAAACTTAAGCTTCATTTAGTCACTTAATGATTTAAGCGGTCAACCTCAATTAAAATAATGCAGGAATCATAGTATAGCCTACATATATCTAGAAAAAAGTCTCTTACTATTAAAAACGCTTTTAAAATGTTCCTAATGTTAACATACCCAAATAAATTTTTACTAAAGCTTCACAAGGAATATCATTTTATTACTGCAATCACAAAATCATAATTTTCTGTACAGGAATGTGTAAGTGAACATTTATTAATGCATTGATAATTCATTGCATAAAGTTCAGATAAACATACTAGAGGAACATACTGTAATAAAGAAAAAAAACTGTAAAATTTTCTGGCCTTGCAGTGCACTTTGCAGTGCAAGTATTTAAGACACAATAGTGTTCAATTCAGCAAACTGCAGAATGTCATGCCACAGTCCACTTAATTCAAAGAGTCAGGACATGCAGCTTGTAATAAAATGTCAGAGGTTATATATATGCATGTATATATATATATATAAAAAACCACATGTAATTCATAAAATATATAGTGGTTTATTTAGATGTTTTAAATGATTTCATTGTGGAATTCAGCATAACTGGAACAAACATCCAATGTCTTCTTAACAGGAATCATCTTCTTGCTAGGCAATGGCTTTGGCTTCAGGGAGAAATGCCTCCCAGTATTTTATCAGCTGTAGGATAATAAAAAAATGTAAGATATTAAAAATACATATAAGATATTTTTAAAATTTACATAAATAGATAACATTGATTCACATTTATGAATGACTGCTTTTAGAGAGATTATTTCAAGTTCCTTATCTCAAGTCTGTTGATATGCTTACGTTAGAATTATTTTAAATATTAATGACTCTTGGCTGATACCAGCTTTTTATGTAACAATAAACATAAAAGTATAAATTGTGTGATTTCTCCACAATTGGGTGTACATACATAGAAACACACATACATAAAGTTTGTCACCATACATTAGAAATGAAAATACAAGTATTATGACCTATTCTAACATAAAATGATAATACTTACTAAGTCAGAATATATTCAAACTTTATTTTGTTTGGCCTTGAATGGGAAAATAGAAAATACTAGGCAAGAAAGGGAAAGGAACCAGAAAGAATTAACTGTCTACCCTGGATAGAGTACAGACTAAAAGTGTATGCTAAAGTTATGGGTAAAACAATTCCTTTCAAAATAGGATCTTAAGACTTATTTTAATATTTAAAAAATTTAATTTTAATAGCTAAGTGTTTAAAAAAATAAAATATAATGGAGACATAAATGCCATCACCCAATTAAAAATATATAACCTGTTAAATTTTACATGAGTAAGTTTAAAAACATTTTTAAGAAAAAACATTTATTATAGTCTTAAACAGGACAAGGGGAAGACAAAGACATATTATCCATATGAGGGAGAACATTGGCATGGGATCATAATGGTAGGATTTGCTGGTAATACAGAACTTTAGAAAGGACATGAGAGGTCATGCAACACTGTCACACACATGGTAGGTGGCAAATCAAAACAACATATGTACAGAAGGGGCTCGTGGAGTAGGAATGGAGTTATGATTGGGATATGTACCTTATGGTAGGCACATAAGGTTGATCCAGGGACCTCTCCAAGGCAGGGAAGGCACAACTCATGTCTATGTTAACCCAGTCCCTTCGGTGATCTCCATCAAGGGCACACCCAGGCAAGAAATCAAAGGGGAATGCCCTCCATGGGCTGATCAGGGGACAGAGACAATGCCCTTTCCAATGCACTCAGTCCAATTCATATCCCTGTTCAGTTTTCAAATGGTTCTGGGCTTCCACTGTCATCCACAGTCTTCTGCAAAGCAGGTGCTCAGAATTTAAGTTCTACATATGTCTTTCCTCTAATCATGGATTGTATTATTTACAATCCTTGGATCACGGAGGCAGATGTGCTTCTTCCAAGTAGACTTAGCTGACACCCCACTTAGATAGCTGATTGTCTTAAGACAAGTTTTTAAAACCCCAGACCCAATTTTGTGACTGTTGGGAAGCACCTTCTGATTTCTTCACCGAATTTTGCTATAGAACCTATGACTTTAGTGATCATTTCATAAAGTGCAGTTATCAAGAAGGGCCACACCCTAAGAACTAAGTGTTTTTAGATTAGGGCTTATAAGCAATTGTGAGCTCAAAATCCATTCATATAGGCCTGGTGGGGTTTGATCAAGTGCAATGTAGATGAGAGGAATTACTGAAAGCCAAATGAAGGTCAAACATGATAGTGGGACGAGAGGAAAATAAAAGAAAATAGAGGAAAGAACTAGGAGGCAAAGGACATTTATAGAGGTATAAATATAGGCACATACATATGTAAATATATTTATATATAGAAATAGGGACATACATCTATGTACATATATTTATATGTTAAGTATTAAGGTAGCAGATGGACATTGGGCTTCCACTCAAGTACTCCCTCAGTGCAAGAACACTTTGTTCTATTAAACTGTCATTCGATGATGCTCACCTTCCCTACACGATCGCTGAAGACAACATAGATGCATAAGAAAATGTGAAGAAAGCTGATAGTGCCTGGCTATCAAAAGATATAGTATCTGAGGTCTTAAAGGCTTGAAGTTAACAAGCAACTATCTAGCTGGAAAGCAACAATGCCCACATGGAAGAAGCACACCAGCCTGTGTGATCATAAGGTGTTGATAGGATCAGGTATCAGGCATCAGAAGACCCAAAGCCCATCTGCAGAAAATTGGACATCCCTTCATAGAAGAATCACAAGGAATGGATGAGCCAGCTAGGGTGCAGTATAGCACTGACAAAACATACAATATTGCTCTAGTTCTTTAATGCTTCCCCACCCCACCCCACCCCACTATCATGACCCCAGTTTTATATTACAAATCTAGCTAGACCAGAGCATGTACACTGGTGCAGATAAGAGTCCTTGATGCACAGAATCAAGGGCAGAGAAACCAACCCCTCAGGAACAATAATAGGAGTACCAATACCATCAGGGTAGGGGGAAGGAAGGAGGATAAATGGGGCACTGATCATAATGATTGATGTATAAGCCCTCCCCCACCCAGGGTGATGAGCAACAGAAACATGGGTGAAGGGAGACAGCGGATAGCAGAAGATATGAAAATAATAATTTATAAATTTATCACGGGTTTGTGAGTGTGGGAGGAGCGGGGAGTAAAAAATGAGGAGCTGATATCAAGGGCTCAAGTAGAAAGAAAATGTTTTGAAAAGGATGATGGCAACATATGTACAAATGTGCTTGACACATGGATGTATGGATTGTTGTAAGATCTGTAAGAGCCCCCAGTAAAATGATTTAAAAAAAAAAAAGGAAAAAAATATCCATTCATATATCTAAGGTTTATATATATCCCTGTCCCACTTAGGTGGCAGCATTACCACTTTTAGAGAGATAATAAAAGTAATCTCCATGGGACTTTTACTAATCCTAATTAAAATATCATTAATCTAGCCAATGGTATAAAATTAACAATACTACTGATATAATGGAAATATACATGGAAGATGAACAAGTTCTTATAGTCACATATTTAAAAACTAAAGGACATTTAATGTCTATTTTAGACATTACATCATTTGATAAATTATGCAAATTTATATTAAAACATATAGGAAAAAGCACACATCTGCTATTATCTAGTACAAATGTTCATTCAATGTAACATTAGAGTTCATGGTCTTCTGTAGTTAAAGTTACTAATGCCTCTAGTGACTTGGCCCAGGATTTTGGGCAAATATTAACAGTTCCAAAGAAAGAATACTTTTTTTTTAACTAAAAATAAAAATTAATTGTAGTTCAAAATTCTATCCATAATGGAAGAGAATAAAATGCTATGTATACCCAAATAAGTCTGACCAACAAGGAAATACATAAAACTGCAAAAGGTACAGAAAGGAACAAGTTGTCCATGGGGGTTTCCATAACCTGAAATTGGGAAAATTGTATCTGGATAGTGTTTAGAAGTGGTAGAGGCAAAGAGGCCTTGGGATCGTTTTCAGCTACTTTGCTGTATCTCTATGGGGTTTCTCTATTCCATATCTCCCCTGAGTTTAAGAGTCTATTTAATCAATCACATTCATAAAAAAAGTATACCAAATATTAGTTCTATAAAACCTAAGAATGATAGAAAATTAGCTTACCTGTTGTTGTGTTTGTACTAATGATTCCAAGTACTTGATAATAACAGTTTTAAAGTCTTTCACTCGTTCTTTCTGTCGAATAAAGTAAATATAAGAAAAATGTCTAATAGAAAAATTCAATTTTATAAAAAAATTGTTGCACAATATAGCCAAGTTTGTTAAGAAAAGTACAAAAATGATTATACATGCCTCAAATCTTCCCACTTCTTTTCGAATCGTTTTAGAGATCTGTTCAAAATCTCTTTCTCCTTGTTGCACTTTGGCCTCCCACTAATAAAAACAAATAAGAATGCACAAATATTTTACTCTTGTTTGGATAAAATTATTGAACAAGTTGTCGTGACCTTTTATTTCTAATAAAATTTTACCTGATGCCTAAAAACCCTAAATCAGCCCACATCAGCAAAGTCCAATTTAATATGGTCAACACTTGTATCTACCTTTCCAGTGGTAGAAATGGGTGTCAACTTAATTTCTATTGATGAATGTCAATTGAATTAAATAAATATAATTTAAGAGAAAATATATTGGATATCAAATGTATCACCAAGTAATTCAGTAATGTGATGATGTAATTTTCTATTTTACATCACTAGTAATTCAAAATATATCCACAACAGTCTATTTTTTAAAAAGAATTTATCTTCATCACAATTTAAATGCCCATGTAAATACTTTAAATTATGGAAATTGTATGAAAAAAAATTTAAAACCATGAGCAGATTTTTTTTAAAAGGTAGAATTATGGCAAGGGCCCAGTGATAAACATTAAATTTAGTGCAGTAACAAAAAACATTGTAATTAGTGATAAATGGAACAGCTAAAATAAAAATAACTGAAAATTTAAACAATGAAAATGATATTTCCCAATATGTAACCAAAACACTGGTACATACTCTTCAAAGAGCAGGTACATTTATTTTTAGTAACATAAAGGTTGTCCTACCTCTTCAATTTCCTTATTGAAGCATGGCAAAAAAAGTGTATAAATTATAATAAACTTACACAAGTTTAGTTAAATACCATATATGACATATATGGGGATAATGTTGTCTAGACAGCTTAATGTGTGATTATCTCTAAAATAATTTTAAGACACAAAACTATTATCTGAAACCAAATTACCCATCTCAGAAGATAAGGGAAAGTTTTTTTTCTATCTTTTTCTTACATGTTTCTTTATTCATTCCATAATCTTATGGAGTAACAAAGAACTCTGGAAGCCTTGATGATAATCACAGTGTTATTAAAGTAATTCTAAAGTCATAACAATATGAAAAAACAGCTAGGTGTTGAATGGCTCAGAAAAAAATATGAAAAATTATGCATATATGAATGATTCATGAAAAAACAAGTGATAAAATATTAAATATTAATCACCTCTCTTATTTCATTCTTAGCTTGCTGTATTTTATCTGGTTTGTTAGCAACCATCATTTTTGCCTCAGTTTCACGTTTTTTGAGCAAAGTCATTTGAGCATCTTCCCATTTCTGCCAGCATTTCATTCGATGGTCAAACACACCCTATAAGTGAATATAATTGCTATTAAGTAAATATAACACCGTGGGATACATCATAACACTACGGGTTCTGTAATTTTGGAAATATATAACCAAATATTTAAACACTATTCTAATATACCAACATTAACAAATATAGCATGCCAGTATATTAAAATATTCCACATACATTTGCTTCAAAACAAAAAGCCCTTTCATTAGATGAAGATGAGTTTAGAATTAAGATAAAATGAAAACAAACTGTAAACAAAATCCATTTCCCTTATAGCAGTGGATCTCAACCTTCCTAATGCTGTGGCCCTTTAATACAGTTCCTCATGTTGTGACATCCCCCAACCATAAAATTATTTCTGTTGCTACTTCATAACTGTAATTTTGCTACTATTATGAATCGGGAGACCCCTGTGAAAGGTTGGATCCCCCAAAGGGTTTGCGACCCACAGGTTGAGAATTGCTGCTTTACAGGTTTATAATATTTCTAAGACTTTCATGCTTTGAAAAAAAGATGAAATAGAAAAAAACCCTGGCATTTTATTTACATTGCAAGATTTTCTACTATTGTTTACAATATCAAAAGCACATTTAAATGCTGGGAGTACAACAGAAATTAAGAATTGAAAATGGGAAGACTCATAGATGAAAGGACGTGAAGTTCAGTAAATTCACTGTGACCAAAGAGAACTTTCCTAGGTGACACCACTGGTTACACTCACTCAGACCCAGTTGCTAGATGCTTGCCTAGTGGGAGAAATGTGTAGTACCAAAGTTCCGCCCCACAGTTTTTTCTTTGGGGGAGGTTACCCCCTATTTTTTCCATTGTACAAAGGGTCACGATGAACTGGAACTGAATCAACGGCACCTAACAACATTTTATTAAAAAAAAAAATGCAGGCTTTGGAAAAAAATCATATTTGGTTTCTAATTCACGATTTGTCACTGTATAAATATTAGGTAATTAAGTTTATTTATGGTAATTAAGCCAGAGCACCCTAAATGACTAAGATGGCAAAGTTTTGGGGGCTTTCATTTGTTAAGGGGGTAAGACCTAACCTGAGAAGAAACTAGCTGCAAACATCCACTGACAATCAGAAAGTATGAAGTAGAAAAATTATAAAACTCATAAAAAATGTAATGAATATATAGAGATCAACATATAGGCACTGTTGTTGTTAGGTGCTATTGAGTTGGCTCTGACTTATAGTGACCCAAATTATGTACACAGAATGAAACACTGCCTGGTTGTGTACCATCCTCCCAACTCTTCCTAAGCTTCAGCCCATTTTTGCAGCAACCATGTCAATCCATCTTGTTCGCTGTTCCTCCACTTTACCAAACATGATGTCCTTTTCCAGGGACTGGTCTCTTCTGATAACATTCTAAAGTATGTGATACAAAGAATTCCTCTGTGGTAGTTACTTATTTTCATGTCAACATGAAGCTATATAAAAGTATAGGGGAGGTATTTAACCTGTCAATCAGGTCACAGTATGATAGTGCCTCTTTGTAGGTGTGGCCTTCTCCTAAGGAGGGAATTGGGAACCTCCCGGCCTCTTTCTTGCCTTCACCTTCCTGCTGGAGGACCCTTGTTGCTGTCAAAACCCTGAGATGTTACCACCATTGGATTCATATGATTTTGCACCCAATGGACCATGATCTTCCTGCATTCTCCATCACTGCATGTGGCTGCCTGAGTCTGAAGAGGGATGTATGGACTAGTATTGGACATATGGACTTGAGATGGACTGAGCTGGGATATTTATTGATAAATAATTACTTCTTGATATGAAGCTTTCTTATACATATATGACTGTCAACCCGACCTGTTTCTCTAGTCAACCCAGCCTAACACAGCCTCTTTTTTTTTTTTACGCTCCCCCC